ATATAAAACCATGCCAGTTCAGATTATCCATACCTGGCTTCCGCAAGAGCAGATTAAACAAATCAACTATTACATTGTCAGGTCCAGTAGGCTGATTTATGCTAAAGTTGTGGAATATTGGGGCCCTTATTAAAATCTTAGGACAGAAGGAAGTAGGCAGCCATTTGAAAAGGAGGCAGTTGTCTAGGATGTTCCTATACATTCTCTCACAGGCAAGTTACAGAATCTTTTCTGTTTTCCAGGCACTTTATTTGTAGATTTTTAAAAAAATCTATGTCAGATCAGAGTAAAGCAGTAAGACAAGTAGAAAACAGTAATAAACTTGGATGCCTTGGCTGGGAGGCAGATATGAAGGGTGGGAGAGAATTGAGAGCAGAGGAGTGGGCAGGAGCACTGGAACTGTGACAGGTAGGGAGAGATGTGGTGGGATCCTGGGAGGATGGGCTGCACTCAGGGATGTCAAACTCCCTGGTTGAGGGTTCCCAATTTCCAGCCTCCAGGCTCTTCCCTTGGGGCCAGGTGATTGGATCCCTGGTGGTCCTGGACTCCGCTGCTACCACTGAATGCCAGGTTGATCTGCAATAAATCTGCCCTCATCCATGTTTGATCGGGGATGAGGTGGCTGCCCTCATCCGGGTGGGCCCGGAGGGGTTGTTCCCCTCTTGAAAATGTGCCTATCTGGGTTTCCGGTCTGGCACCAGCCAAAACTTGAGGGGAGGGGAGGGGAGGGGAGGGGAGGTGGCAGTTGCCATCTGCGTGTCATTGTGGGCTTTCAGTGGCTCTGCAATGCAAATATTTGGGTGTGAGGCCCTCTGGTTGAAGTTGGGCAATAGGGAACGGTTGGGATTGTTGCTGGTGTACCACTCTGCCTGCAGTCCAACATCATCCCTGCCTGAGCTGCTGGATTCCTTGCTGGGCTGGGAGCAGAGACGCAAGGCTGTTGGTGCTTGGGAATCCCAGTTTGCTACCGGGTGGTACTGAGTCTGGGGTGGCTCAGGAGTTTGTGGCCTCCCTGACAACCATGGACCTGTCCCAGGTCATCATGGGTTCAACACATATTAGGGGCCACACATTAAACCTGGTTTTTGTCTCAGGGCAGTTGCAACATGACCTAGTTTTGGAGGACATTGTCATCAGTCCATTGCCCTGGTCAGATCGCGCTCTGGATGCTTTTCAGCTCACTGGTGTAACCCCACCTTGTGGGCAGGGAGGGCCTGTTTGATTGGCCCACCTCAGGAGCTTGATGCACCCAGCTGGGTTTCAGAGGGACCTTGGGGTTTTTCCCAAAGATCTGTTGGGCAGTCCAGCTGAGGCCTTGGTTGCAGCCTGGAACGGGTGAGCGTCTTTAGACTGCAGTGCTCATATGCAGCCTCTCTTCTTGTGCCAATCCAGGGGTGTGCCTTGCTGTACTGAGCAGCTCCAGGAGATGAAGCACATGAAGAGACCCCTATCAGGGACCTTTCATCTTTGGTCTTTAATGGGGTTGCATTTCCCCACGTGAGTCTGGTGTGCCATCTGGGAGTTACCAGCTCCTGCTTGAAGAGCAAGTGGCAGCTGTGGCCCGAGAGGGCTTTTGATTCATCCTGTGCACAAATTGCTCCTGCTCCTGGACCAGGAAATCCTTCAGACAGTCACTCGTGCCTTGGTGACCTCTAGGTTGGATTATTGGAGCTGCTCTTGAAGATCACTCAGAAGCTACAGCTGGTCCAGAATGCAGCAGCACAGGCAGCGACACATATCACAGTATAGGCACATGTCGCCATTGCTTTGTGCACTACACTGCTTGCCAATTGGCTTCCACATGTAGTTCAAGGTCCTGGTTATCACCTATAAAGCTCTGCATGGCATCGGGCCTGGTTACTCCATGTGTAACCACGCTCATCCAGTGAGGTCACCTAGAGCGGGCACGCTCCAGGTCCTGTCAATTAAGCAGTATCATCTCATGGGAACAAGGAAGCATGTCTTCTTGGTGACGCTCCTGCCCTGTGAAATGCTATCCCTACCTGCTCCCACCATTTTGACTTCCCCAAACTGCTAAAGGCCTGGGTGTGTTTTTTTGGCACTCCCCCCCCCGCCCCCCCCCCCCCCTCCCC